CGGAAATTTCCAAAATTTACAACTTTTCGGTCACTCTCGTCGAACTAGAAAAATGTCTGTCTTTATTACATCTAATACAGTATTTCGAAGAAATCAGTTCTCACTGTTCTCGGCTATAGATTCGTTCGGTTAAGCTTTTGTTTAAGTAATATTCCGGTATTAAGCAATATTCATCAGGGTTTTGTTTATGTCCCCAATTCCCTAATTGCTTAATTATTTAACTACTTCTTAAGTAGAAATAAGTCAAAACCGGTTACTTTGTACTCGAATATTTGTAGTCTCGGGAAAAAAGTGGAAAAAGAAATTTTTATGACAAACGGATACATAAATTGTAAATTTAAGGAAAATAAATTCTAGCGCTTTTTCTGTACCTGGTGCATCTCTCTCATTCATTAAATTTAGTTGTAAATGACACTGTCAAAGTAACAGTTAATTTTTTAACATTATACAAGAATTGTACACGTTTTTTTCTACATCCCCTTAGAGATGGGACATACAAAATCGTAATATCACCGGTTTAACATTGAAAATGACCGGTTTAATATAAAATCGGAGAGCGTAATAAATATATCAAATATTTTAATGGATTTTTTAAACTCCCATCAATTATACAGAACTATCGTAAAAACATACCAGTAAATTCTTATTGGTTGGCTTAAGTTATAAATCTACTCGTTATTCATGTAATTGGCCAAATATCTAGCGGGCGGGCGACTAACAGCCCAGAACCGGTCCCGGATAGCATTGGAAGCGTTGGAATGTGTAGCATCAACTCAAGGTCGTAATCTTCCACCAGCTAAACCGGGTGAGGTTGGTGCTCTGTAAAGCGCGTGCGCAAATCTGGCTTTTTGGAATCTGACAATACAGAGATTCCACTCCGCCACTAATATTTGAATATACAATAGCAATCTTATTTTCTTTTTCACGTGCAGTATAGAAATTTGTAATAAGATACATAACGCGGTTATAATAAAATATTGTGCAATTATTTTCATGTAATTAAAATTAATATGTATTTATTTTTTATAAAATACAAGGGAAGTTGCACTTCCGTTGCTTCTAATGACAGCACGCCACTGATTGAAAGTTATTATTTCTGGCAATTTCCTTGTACAGGGCAGCCAGTTTTGTCATATGTAACATCTTTGTATACGGTTTCATAGGAGTGATTGTTAGGCTGATGGAGGAATGATGACAAATTAGATCTTTCAATGGTGTTTGGAGAGTAGCCATGTTGTCTGGCACAGCATTTCTCAAACTTTTTGCTCACACAACTGAATATATCAATATTTGTTTGTAATGGTTCCACAACTCAAATGTTTATAATATAAAATTTTTAAAATTTTGGTAAACAGGAGTCATTGTATATTATATAACGAAGTAAAATTATACATTTTTGATAAAACTTCTGTATGAAATGTAACATTGAGTACATTTCTATTAAGAGCGGTTTAGGCCAATTTTGACTTGAACAAATAAATTACTTCAATTTTTGAAATCTTGTTTTTAACAGAGAGCACTTGCTGTTTTGATAAACAGCAGGTGCTTTCTGAATATTGTAATTCCATTGTAATTCCATCAGGTTGAGTTAACACACAAAAATTATCATCCTATGATTGATGAATTATCAAATGTGATTGATGAAATACTAACTTGCAAATTTTTACTGAAAAAAAAATTTGAGTTGAGGTCAGTTTTGAAGTAGGGGCCATAGTTCTACACAAGAGATAATAGTAGCAAAAAATACTTAATTTAATAAAATATTGAGAACTTAATTAATAAAAAGATTTTATTAAGTGTGGTCATATTGTTTATATGTCTTCTCAGAAGCTTGCTTTTTCATTGTCTTCATCCTGGCAATACTGTTGTTAGAGCTGGGCAACTGGGACACTTGCTTGGGACATTGCCCTTAAGAAATTCAGTTTGTGGCTTTTTTATGCAATCCTGCCTTTTCATGGTAATTAGGCATAGCACTCTGTAGGAAATACATTGAATTGAAATAATTCTCTGCATCATATTTAGGCATTTATAGCATAGAAAATAGTAATAATTTGAAAGAACTAAGTATTAAAGCATTTAATAATAAGAAGTTGCAATAAATGTGCATGAGAAATGCACATTAAGTTTAGCAATGTCATTGACAGATTATTTTAAAGATTTTAGAGAAAATAGTTTCTTAAAAACAAAATTATTCAATAGAAACATATTTATTAAAGGCAAAGACTGTGATCTTTGAAATAATGTTACAAGAAAACAATTTTATTGATAAATAGCTTTATTAGTATTTATAATAAATTTAATGAAACCAAATCAATTTGATGTTAATTTAAAATTAATTACAAAAATTTAAAAACTTTTAGGATGTCTTTGTTGGAATGATCAATGCACAAACAGATGATGAGTTTGGAAATGCCATAATATTAAGAATACAATTTGCTTTACAAAAAGTTTATAGTCCATTGCTTAATATAACTAGCAGTTCAATATTAGCATCTTTATCTGAAGATGTTCAGGAAAATTGGCAATATTTTTTACAATCTTTTCAATCATTTGACAATTTTCTAACAGGTAAGATATTGCTATTTTAAATTATTTAATTAATTTACTTATATACATATTTTTTGCTGTATTAGGAAATAGAAGGTAAATAGAAAGTAGATATTGTTATTACAGAAATTTCTTTTAGCCCTGAGTATAATTAAATTAATTAAAATATCTATAACTGTGAGGCAGATAATAGTAAGGGCTTATCACACCAATGATAATGGGCACAAACGCTCAAGAATCAAAGTAAAAACATTTAATAAAATAAAAAGGAGGTGTTTTTAATTAATTTAAGAAAGTAAATAGTTTGAAAATTAATTAGGTCTTTGTCATAAAGAATAAGTGTTATCATATTACTAAAAACAATGAGGTATTCTTTTATAAATATTTTCTTACTGTATTCAGTAGTAATTTAAGTGAAGTGGAGATGGAAATACCTTTGAATCAATTTTCTTTCCACAATGAAGTGTGCAAAATTGAATGCTAATTAATTATTGCTTTTTGGCTTTTGTTTGGTTAAAAAGAGTAAAAACTTTACTTATTATTACAGTTAGCTACCCACTTATTATTTATTTGATCCTATACATTTATGCTGTGTTGTATTTAAAGGCTTATCACACATTGAGACTATTTATCTCATTTATTATATATCTCTAGTTACAACTGAGGTTAACTATTTTTGTACATCTTCTAACCATTTTAAAATGCATTTTGGCTGTAACACTCACAGCCCTCTTCAGTTAGATTATTTTGGTTTAAAAGTTTTAAAAATTAATCACATTTTAACAAGACATGTATGGAAAACTGATATCAATATGTTTAAAATATGTATGTAATATAATTAAAATTAAATGTATAAATAATGTAAATGAATAACTAGCTGTTGATAGCCACTATACATTTTAACAATTTTATTCAACATTTCTTTCCCCATAGATGTTCTGTTTTTTAATGCTTATGATTATATCACAACTTCTCTACATAATATACATGTGAGAATACGTTCGAGGGGTATTGCCCTCTTGTCATCGGATCGGGAGGAGCCACTCACTGCATCTAAGGATGGCTAAATCGAGTGGAAGTGAAGATCAAGATCATCTGATCTCGATCACGTCAGGATGCTGACACCAGTTAATCTATTTTAACAGATTAACGCGTGTTTAAATACTATTAAATAAATTTAGATAGGAGGGCTATTCCTATTAGTGGAGTGTTGTGTAGGCAAGTGATAAGATCAAATCAAGAAGTAAACCCATATTAAAATAATATAACAAGATTTAATAAGATAACAAATGAATACAACAATTGATATATCTTAAATATCTTAAATCCCTAATCTACACGTGAGAGAGAGTTTACAAATGATATTGTATTACCTCTGTAATAACTTGACTTTTCCCAATTCTATTTGATGGGAGGAAGTTCCAATCCCTGGAAGTATGGTACACAAATTCATAAGAGGATATTGGATGGTGTGCGATGATGTGCCTGGATTTTGGTGCATATCCCTTTTTTATACTCCTTTCAACATCCAATGGATGTTAAGAGTTAAGATCATCTGACTGGGTGTCATGATGAGTCTTGGTTTAGTCAGCCCTTCCGTCATGGAGATAAAGATCTCTCAGGAACTGACTGTCATCGCAAGATACATTTGTTCCTTGTTCTTCTTGATTTTTAGCTTTGATAAAAATTTATCAAAATATAATATTTAATTTTTAAATAATTTTCTATGTAATTTTTAGATTATTTCAGCTTAAAATATTTAGAATCTCACATATTCAGGTAATCCCTGTATAACACAGCACTTCTATAGCACGGATTCACTCTAACACGGTTCGAGAATTGGGAACATCCCTATATAACATGGTGCTTTTATAGCATGGGTTCACTCTAACATGGTTCGGGTATTGGATAAAACCCTCGTACAACATGGAATGTAATAAATGGTGTGTTCTTTTATACCTCTGCATAAGTTTGTGTAAGCATTCTAATTGTTTTTGTGTCTACTTTGAATGCTCTTTCAACAAATAATCCATTTAATGGGTAAATTTTACAATTGTGACACTTCTTTTGCCTCTAAAAGCTCATTTTAGAATTATAGATTCCTCCATCACGATACTATTGATAGTGCGGGCACCGCCATTTTTCTTTCACTGTCGTTCCTAAATTCCTACAAACAGCAGTGCACTCCCATTGCAGAGCAACCGCTATTAATGAATGCACTCAAAACTTACCAGTTGATGATGCTCATGCAGAGATCATCATATAGGATGAATAATCCTCTGGTAAAATATTTACTTAAATAATAAATAAGTATTTTACCTATGAAAAAAATGAATAAATCTGATTTAAATAAGGATTTAACAGCATGTTTTTTAATTTTTGGAACCCAACCCCCCTTTTCGCACTAGTTCTTTGTTTCGTATAACACAGACTCGCATAACATGGCAATTTTTTTGGAATGTAATTCCCATGATATATGGGGGTTACCTGTATCTTACATCAATATTTTTATACATATGTAATTATATTAATTTATTCAAAGCATTACAAATTTCATTATGAAAATCATTACTTTAATTAATAAAATATTTCCATATTCATATCTAAGTTATATTTTTTTCTTCATCTCCTGTGCTCTTGTTCCTTGCTTATTTTGTGTATGCCTTTGTCTTATATCTATTGATAATCTTTAGGGAAATTTTTATCTAAATCTAATTATACTGTTATTTAATGTATAAAATATAATATATTTAATAAATATTATTTTTGAAACAAATTTTTACTTAATGAATTATCCAGTGGTTCTAATTCATTAATTTGATATATTTTTTTATATTGTCTAATCTCTTTAATTAATTTAATAAGGAACAAGATCTATTGAAGTTTTTTGAATTATTAACCTACAAAAATATAAATTAAAGTTTGTCTAAGTATTATTATTTAAACTATAATTTGATATCATAATTACCTGTTTATTCCACCAATACTATTTATGATGATATTCATGAATGTGTTCTTTCCTAATATTTTTCACTAATTACACTTGTCTGCTTAATAATTCCTACACCTTCATTGTCAATTACTATTCCATTTTTTCCCCTCTATTTTATAATTGTTAAATGATCATAAATTTTCTTTTAATGCTACTAATTTCTTTTTAAACTATTTTTATTGTGTTTTTATTAATTTCACAATTGTACAGTATTTATTACAATATCTGCTGACTGTTGAATTTAATCTGTTATACTGTATTGATCTAACATGTTTCAGTACTCTTATTGGGATGCAATTTGAAAAAATTGTAGATCTATAAATTCCCACTGTTATCTGTCTATCCTTTCTTAATCTTGAGAACAAAGTTAGAAAGAAAAAAGCCAAGACCAGATATAGAAAACATAAGGGGCAAGAGGTTCCTCATTAACTATAAACAAACTTTTGGTACAAACTGGAAGATGTGTTATTTCAATTAAAATATCTTCCCCTGAAAGGAAAGATGACCGGCATGACTTTTGACAACAGGAAAAGTATGATGTACAGGGGCAAGCCACTACTCAGCTTGGTATTGTGACAATGTCACAATAGATAATTACTTGTTTTAAATTGTCTTTTTGTTTTTACCAATATACAGTATATATTGGATTTTTAAAGTAGCAATGTAATTTATGTATGCTTTGTTCTATTTGTTGCTTATTGATAATTTGTTGCAATTTAATTTATGTACTAATATGCTTTGTTCTAATTTGTTGCTTATTGATTCATTTTTTTCTTTTTTTGTTTGTCTATACATGTTGTATTGTGTTTGTTTATTTAGGAACTAATTGAACATTATATTTTATTAAAACTTTTTATGTATGGAAGTTTGAATTTTTTAAAATTACCATTTTTATTTTTAATATTTTGTGGTGTATCTAATCATTCTTAGCCAATTATGTATTTTTTTTTTTTTGCTAATCATTCATGATATACATTTTATCACTTCAGTTATTTCTTTTTGCTTGATTTCCTCCTGTGTTGTACAGTGCAAAATTTATATACATTTGGAAAATGTTTCTTTTAATATTCAGATATTTCTGACTGATAATTGATTATTTTATGTACTGTACACTTTCATATTTTTATCTAATTTCTTATTATTTTTATGTATTTAAATATCTAAAATGGTAAATTTCTTTGCACAGAAAGCTAGAACTTCTTTAACTAACTTTAACTTTAATTAATATATTTATCATATTCTACTGTAGAATACACAGTTCTGCAGAACTATGTATAGTAGAATATGATAAATATATTAGTTAAGAACTGGGTGTGGTTCTGCATAGTTTGATAAATAGGTAATTACTAATTACATATGTATGAACATATTGATGTATGATAGATGATTATGTAGAGAAATTATGATATGATTATATTCACAAAAAGATAAAATAACATTTACGGGAAAGAAATATCAAATAGAATTGTTAAAATATATAGTGGATATTGACAGCTAGTTATTCATTTATATCAGTAATTCCCAAAGTTTTTTGAGCCATCACCACCTTGATTCCATAAATTTATATTTAATGCCTCCCAGACATACCCCAACACCTTCAACCTGTTTTCCCTTGTGTGAGAAAGACTTGGAAATATTCTTAGAAAAGCTTTTCTATTACTCTTGCACTTTGTGTCCTTGTTATATTGTAGAGGAGAATGATTCACAGTGAGACAAAAATGAGAAATGCTTCATGATAAGAAAATAATAATAATTTTTGTAATATTTGTTGCAAATTATTATATATATATATGCATGCAGTAATATTAAATAAACAGAACTGAGTAATAAGTTGAATAATTTTTATTGTAGAGTAAAATGAATATAAATTGGTAATCTGTCTCACTGTGTTCCATTCAATTTTAAAGTGAGACAAAACATGGTCCACACTGAGACTTGTAGGCTTACTTCAGAATAAGCATATCTAATGGATGTTTAGTCCTGTAAAATAGAGTGAAAACTGTGTATCCTGCTAATTTCTTGTTGCTCA